GGTGATATCGGCTCTGTATGGGGCCCAGAGAATTCTCTGGGAGCTGTGGGGCCCTCCAGCTGTTTTTTTTTCCTTAGCTGCTGTGTGCTCAGACTGAGTTTTTTATTTTGTCTATGGAATCTTTTATCCATGACATTTCTGTGTGTAGCTTTCCAATTTCTGCTCTCATTTGTTCCTGGATTTTCTCGTTTGTCCGATCCATTGTTTCTTTCATGTCCTTCTTCAATTTACTGGATGTCTGTCTCACTGTTTCATTGAGTTCATTGAACATTTTCATAACTTCATATCTGAATTCTTTCTCAGAGATGTCTCTTAGGTGAGTAGCACCTAGTGAGGCTTCTGCACTCTTTTCATCATCCTCTCATGGTGGGGATTTGCATTGTTTCTTCATATTGGTGTGGAGGTATGGAGACTGAGATGTTACAAGAGATTTCTGGGTATAAGTAAACTAGCTGCAGCCGCATGACGGTCCGTTCCTTCAAAATTAGGCCACGCCCACTTCTACAGAAGCCATGGTCACTTCTGAAGAGGCCACGCCCCCACAGGTACCTAGTTGCGGGGGATGCAATCTGCAATCTGGGGGTGGGGTGGGGAGAAGACTGGCACAGCCATGGGGATGAACAGGAAAAGGCTCAGGGATGTTGAGCGTCCCAGGGTCCTAAAGGACACTTGGGGCGTGTGCATGGAGAAAGCCAAGTCCTGGGTTTGAATACTGATGGATTAACTGACCTAGGGGGAAAGAATACCGGCACAGCGCTGGGGACGTACAGGAAGAAGCTCAGGGATGCTGAGCATCCCAGGGTCCTAGAGGAAGCCTGGGGCACGTGCACCTGGTGTTTGTTTTCTGCTGTTTGTCTGTCACATTCTTTAAATTTCTCCTTGACTTTGACCTCAATAAAGGTTTTATTGAATGAACTTGCTGCATTTAAAGAATATGCTTAGATGAAGTTTTTCATAATTTATTGATATTGCCTTATATTTAATTTAGTACAGTGAGTATCTCATTAGGATCCCCTGTCTTGTCATAGGATAGAGTGTGTGTGGTTTGTTTTTCATAAGATAAATGAATAGTCATTATTTGGGGTAGGAATCTTCTGGCTCTATCATTTGCAATCGCAGCAGCATAAATTCCTAATATTTACTTAAGTACTAAGTCCATGACAGTTAATTAACGTGATTCTAGTCATTCTAGAATTGCAGAATGAGAGAATGACTTTTTTTTTTAATAAATTTTACCAATTGCTAGCTTTAGTGCATATAGATTATTTCTCTTGTTCAAGATCAAGGATCCAAACTCTACCATGTGTGGAGATTTTAATGGAAAAGTAATCATATAGTTAGCTCTGTGTTACAATAAAAATAAACAGGTTGTCTTTCTCATTGGTAAAAACAAGATTTGTGGTAAGGTTAAATACAAAATTTTGTAGTCATTTCTATTTTTTAATGTTTTTTTATCTTTTATTCCCTTTTTTTGTTCTCCTAGATAATAATTAGAAGCATAGTACACCATCCCCACATACACAAACACATACTCTCTTTTGTCTTCAATTTTCCAGTAGATCCATAGGGAACTAAAAGTAATAACTAACGAATTTAAGTGTCCAGATTCTAGTATGAGGTTCTTTATAGTCACTAGATAAATTTTACTTTTCTTATTTTGCCCATGATTTATTGACTCCATTTTACTTTATCCATGTGCATTTAATTCATGCTGAAAAAATATTTTGTTCCTGCTACTAGGCACTATTCTAAGGTTTGTCAATCTTATTTCTGCTGATACCTACACCAGAGCCTTTGTCTATATGTCAGCAATATGCATAACTTTTAGTCCCTCTTCACATTTTTTTATTCAGAATTAAACATATGGAGACAGGGATGTAGCTTAGCGGGTTTCATGTCTAGCATGTGTGATACCCTGAATCTAGTTCCCAGCACCACAAACGTAAGCCAACAAAACAAAGATGATTATCTGAATTCAGAGGAGTAAGGGTTAATATGTACCTATTATATGAGTTAATTTTGAAATAATTCCTAGAATAAGTATTAGCACAGTTGACCAAAGGGAAAGGGCTTTATTTAGCTACTTGAAACTACCCTCCCAACTAACTGATACTGATCTTTTGTTCATCAACCTAAACATTAAAGCATAAAGGAAAATATCAAGGAAATGTTCTGGTGATGGGAAAGTAGGATGTGCCCAAATTACTGTAATTTAGGAGGAACTTTGGTCTCTGTCATTATCAGTGCTCCCACCCCCTTTTTGGTATATTTCTGAAAAAGGAGAAGTTGGGTAGCTATCAAAAAAATTTTAAAAAGTACAGTACCTGAGTGGCATTGTCCACTACATAGAAAATTGTAACAGTATGTTGGGCAAGAGAATGAATGGTACTGTTTTGAACAGAAAAATCACATGCGCCATCCGTTAATTTGATTCATGATATTCTTTTATCTACTACAGTATCAAAATTATGCACATATGCACAATGACAGTACACTTAAATACATTCACACATAGTTAAATAGCAGTGAAAAACCTTGAATTTAAATGACATTTTTCCTCTTGGCATTGGCAGTCTCTTTGACCTATCCAGTGGATAACAGCTCCTTGACTTATAGTCCCACTGATTGATTTTACTATTTTCAAAAAGTGTTATCTTATAAAATATTGGGCATCCTGTACAAGTTTAATTACAACTCAAGCAGCTCATCCTGATGTGATTAATAAACCACAAAAATAACCATTTCTCTTCTCTCTGTATAGCAATGGTATTTTTAGAAACTAGGTTTCCTGTGCCAAGTTTTATTTCTAGATAGAATGGGAATTGTTAAACGGTCTATCCGTTCATAAGAAATCTTTGTTCATTTATTAAGAGTACCCTGGATATCTAATTTCATTTAGAGTTTTCAGTAACTTCTTGTATTCTTGAGTTAGCCGCACAAATTGTTTAATTGCTTCAGATATTCAGTAGAAATTTCTTGCTAAGAAAGTCAGATGAACCTTTTTCTCCTTTTGTTGTATTAGATAGAACTTTCAGTAAATAAGGACTTCTATCAAAATTATTTTGATTATACAAGAAATCATCAGAATACCCATCATTAATGGAATGATTACATACATATACTGTGGTGTTCTTTTTTTTTTTTTGGCTTTTTGGGTCATACCTGGCAATGCACAGGGCTTACTCCTGGCTCTGCACTCAGGAATCTGTCCTGGAGGTGCTCAGGGGATCATATGGGATGCTGGGAATCGAACCTGGGTTGGCTGCATGCAATCCAAACGCCCTACACACTGTGCTATCACTCCATCCCACTGTGATGTTCTTAACCTTGCTTTTTGTGGTTTTTTTTTTCCTGTGGTGGTGCATGGTGTTCACTGGTGGGTTCACACCCACAAGTGCCAGGAGACCAGGAGGTGCCAGGGGTCAAACCTTGCCCTCCAGCAAGCAAATCCTATGGACAGACAAGCAAAGAGGGAAACTGTTGAAAGAGAATCTAGAAATTAACTCATACACCAGTGGTTACATAGTATAGGATAATGTATTTCAAAGGAATATAATAAGCTGTATTATTTAATAAATGGTGTTGGAATATCTGACTAGCTGTTTGGGGATGGAGGAAATTTGATCCCTTCTGTAAGAATAAATTTCAGATCAATCAAATATTAAAACATTTTTTAAACAACAAAGTCATGTATGTTCTAGAAGGAAACATTACTGGTTTTGCTTTTGAAGTGAGGAGCACCTAAACATGACAAAAAATTCAGAAACAATTAATGAAGAGGGTAAATTTGCCTGTACCATAGTGTTTTTGAAAGTTTGCATATTGGATGGAATTTGCAATTTCATGGTCATGATCCCTTGTTTCAGCAACATTCGAAGGTTATTAGTGTAGGGCGTTCGCCTTACAAGCGGCCAACATGGCCGACCCGAGTTCGATTCCTCCGCCCCTCTCGGAGAGCCCGGCAAGCTACCGAGAGTATTCGATATGCCAGACACAGTAACAACGAAGTCTCCAATGGAAACGTTACTGGGCCTGCTCGAGCAAATCGATGATCAACGGGAGGGCCTTTACCTTTACCTTTACTATAATTATTTGGATCAATACCAACTAACACTGACCAAAAGGCCCCTAGTTTGTAATCTCAGTAGTTGCATTTGTGTTTATGAGCCATTTAAATTTATGTCACTTTGTTGTATCATTTGAATATTCTGAGTTTGTATCAACAATAATGTATGTATTAACATGTTGATGCTAGTGCATACCATTGCTGGCTCACGCTTGAATGTGGTTTAATTAACACAAATTGTAGCACCAGCATCAATGTGTTAATCTTACTTCAAAGGAGTGAATGAGTTATATTATACCCAAAAAATTGGAATTAAAGCAAATAAGAAATTGACATTGAGAGTTTGTTACCAGCTTGAGGTGCATATGCAATTGAGACTGGAAGGTTGTTAGGGTTTTCTTCTGTGTCACAGATGGGTCCCCAATGTGCTCATCTTGCTGAGTGACCTGCTGTGCTCAGGTCCTGGATTCCTGGTGGCTGCACACAAGCTAGTTTTTACTTAATGTGTGTCATCTTACAAAAGTGTTTTTTAACACTCTAAGCTCTGGCTCAAATTTGTCATAGTTAAGAATACAAAATTCTTGTAAATTAAGACAGGTACCATCAGAAAACCCGTAGAAGGCCCCGCTTGTGATAGGTAACTTTGAGAAACACTACACTGTGTGGCTAAGAACAGGTCACATGACTAGCTTATAATCATCCTATAGCTTTATTTGGGTTTTGAATTTGGAAGTAGAAAAGAGTAGATTTCATAAAAGGCAAAAATTTCATTAATTCAATTTAGTCCAGTAAAATGAATGTTTGATAATATACTTAGGAGTCTCACATAGTGTAGTTGTTAAAACTATAATCTAGTTAAGGCTAAGAAAGCTAGTTAAACTAAGTTTAATCAAATTTACAGATTCTTTTGTTTCTTTTTTCTTTCTTACCACAGGTCACAGTAATGAAAGGCAGTAATAGAAATAAAGATCATTCAGCAGAAGGAGAAGGAGCTGGAAAACGACCAAAAAGAAAGTGTCTTCAGTGGCATCCCTTGCTAGCAAAGAAACTTCTTGACTTCTCAGAAGAGGAGGAAGAGGAAGACGAAGAAGAAGATATTGACAAGGTAATTTCATTTTTCTTTTTTCAGAACTTCCAAGTTTATTTGTTACTATTCTAGAAACTGTAGTGAATATGTATGGTAAGAAACATGTATTCTTAAAAGTAATTATCTTTTCTTATATATTATATCTACATTGTTATTCCATTTGATTTGATAAACCTGAGCTCTCTGTGGCAATGTTATTCTACACTTCAGCTTAACCCTTGACCTTACTACCTTCTTTTCATCTTTCAGCTGAGACCTCTACTGAGATGCTAGTCTTCTTGTTCATACATTACCCTAGCACTGCACTGTAGCACTGTCCTCCTGTTGTTCATCGATTTGCTCTAGCGGGCACCAGTAACATCTCACAACAAATTGTGAGACTTGTTGTTACTGTTTTTGGCATATCGAATATGTCACGGGCAGCTTGCCAGGCTTTGCCATGCAGGCGAGATACTCTCCCACTCAACACTGATTTCTCTGCTACTAGCTAGATCTAATTTTGCTTATTTGAGGAAAGTGTTGCCTGTGTGTGAAGGAATCTTAGTAGCCAAGCTAGAAATGCTTTTTCCTCTTTAACTCTTAAATTCAGCTTGATATCAGTCACTCTTGGGTCTTCCTAATAAATACTGTGTCCGTTTTCATGTCTTTAGTCTCATTACAGCTTTGATTCAGCCTGTCTCTTTTGTAACCTTGAATCCTGGAATAATTTCATTTTTTCTAGTGTAGCTTGTTTCTAGGCTACCTGTTAGATTCAGTGATGTATTTGTGATAGGAGTTATTTAAATACAAATTTAACAGTGCCTTTCCAGGCTTAAAACCACTTGTGATTCTCCATTGCATCCAACCATGCTTCTAATTGTGCAAGTCTTGTACAATTGTTGATTTGGTACAAATTGTAACTGGACCCTTGGTGGAGATATATATGGAAAAAGAGATAAATTTTTTAGTTAATTTTCAGTTAATTTTTCAGTTTTACTAGATCACTTACATAATTTTGTTTACTCAATTTCATTAATAAAGTAATTATATTAGTATATAGATCACAGCGTAAAACTTCTTTTATATCCATACTTGAAAAAAAAAACCAATTTTTTTTATTGATTCATATGCTCTCAAACCACATGCTTAGAGAATTAAATGCACATAATTTTTATATTTTAGGTTTAACTTTCAAAAAATGTGTGCCACACTAGATGGTGCTATGGGACCACTTCCTGGCTTTATGTTTTGTGGGGTGTTGCCCAACTCTCTTCTCAGAGTACCTAAGGTAGCAGTATCCCTATTCTGATCTTTTATATAGCAATTCTGTTAAACTGCATATCTACATTCAAACAAGCCATTTAGCTCTTGGTCAACTTTTAGCCCCTTATCTCTCCATTGACCATGTGACGTTCTCATTCATCTTTCAAATTTAACCCCATCGACATCTTTTCTAGAGAGACTTCCAAGTGTTTTTACCCATCCACCAGGGCTTCATGATCTCACTGATCTTTGTTTCCATCATCATACTGGCTTTGCTTGTATATCTTTCTTCAAATATAATAATTTGCCTATGTTTTCTCCCATTCCTCCTAAGATAGTAAGTTCCTTGAGCCAGAATCTTGTCTTATTTATCTCTTTTTTCCAGCTTTTGATTTGAGTTTTATAATTTAGTAACCAAATAAAAAATTATCCTTTTTGGAAAGGGAAAATGTAATTATTTCCCCAACCTAACCTATTTTTTAATTCTTGATTTTTGCGGCTCTTTAGCATTTTTAAATGCTAAATAAAAACTCCGAAAATGAAAATCATTGTTACTGATTGTATACATACATAATGAGAAAGATACATCTGTAGCCTTTATCCTGATAATAATCCCTAATGTATTTCCAAATCATCTATGAATTCAAGATTGTTCTGTACTATTTGTATTCAAAGATAATTGATTGTTAATTCAGTGTATTTTCAATACTTATTTAAATATGAGACAAATATATATATTTATATATATATATACTCAAAATTGGATTGTGGTAGTGATTTGTTCTAGGTTATCTGTCTGTAATAGTTACCCAATAAACATTGCATATCGGAATATGGTTTCCTTATAGTAATGTGTCTCAGGAAGTAATCATCTGACTGGCAGCAGCAGGGTCACCAGGGAACTTGTTAAAAATACAAAATCTAGAGGCCTACTTCCGAACTACAGAATCAAAAACTCTGCAAGTGGGACCTAGCTATCTTTGTTTAAACAAGATCACCAGGGATACCTGTGCACAGTCAAGTTTAAGGACTACTGCCCTATCTTATAATATAGAATAACCACTGCTTTGATCTTTATTGATTCTAGCTAAGAAACTAGAAATTAAAGAAATGTCAGCATTCTGAACTTGTGTTCATGGTTGTGCTATTTTCAAGAAACAAAAAATCATATTTTAGCTTTAGATATTTAACAGTCTTAATATATACTGAGATTCTATGTTTGAGGATTTTTTTTTTCTTTTTGGGTCACACACAGCGATGCTCAGGAGTTACTCCTGGCTCTGCACTCAGGAGTTACTCCTGACAGTGCTCAGGGCACCATGTGGGATTCCAGTGATCGATCACAGGTTGGCTGTGTGCAAGGCAAATGCCCTACCTGCTGTACTATTGCTCCAGCCCCTATTGAGGATTCTTTTAAGAAACATAATGCACAACCATGAACAAGAAGTATTATGGAAGATATGAGCACGAAGACTAGGCTATAGGTCAGAGTGGTACCAGTGGAGAGACAGTGAACTACTCAGATTGGATGAACAGCATTAGAGCTTTGGAGAAGTTGGTTAAAGGCTTTGAATTGGATTACATGACTACAAAAAGGGCTGTTTACTGATTTTGAAGGTATAAATATAGGCTTTTCACATCACAACAAAGTTTTATGTTTATAAGCTTTAATACTCACTACATATTTCTTCAAATAATTTTAAATGCCTGTTTAATTTTATATTAAGGGGCACCACTTGAGATAGGTTCATTGAGTAGTTCTATATTGCATTTTATTTAACTTTATGTCAATATATTTTATTCACAAGTTGTAGATAAGAAGAAAAACTAATATCTGTGTATTTAGTGCGAATGCTAGTGTGAATGCACAGCGGTAGGGCGTTTGCCTTGCACGCAGCCAACATGGCTGACCCGAGTTCGATTCCTCCGCCCCTCTCTGAGAGCCCGGCAAGCTACCGAGAGTATCTCACCCACACGGCAGAGCCTGGCAAGCTCCCCGTGACATATTCGATATGCCAGACACAGTAACAACAAAGTCTCCAATGGAGACATTACTGGGCCCGCTCGAGCAAATCGATGAACAACGGGAGGGCCTTTACCTTTTTTTGCCTTATTGTTCATCTCATAAACTCCTGAATGGGTTTATTTATTTATTCAGTAAACACTAGTGTTATGCCAGACTTGAACTGCCACTATGGTCTTAAAGGCAAGTAAGAGAGCCTTTGTCTTCGAAGTTCATTGCTTAGTTAGATGGGGGAAAAAACAATTATAACATAATGCATTATATGCTATAATAATAATAGGGCTGGAGCGATAGCACAGCGGGTAGGGCATCTGCCTTGCATGCAGCCAACATGGCCGACTCGAGTTCGATTCCTCCACCCCTCTCGTAGAGCCCGGCAAGCTACCGACAGTATTCGATATGCCAGACACAGTAACAACAAAGTCTCCAATGGAGACGTTACTGGGCCCGCTCGAGCAAATCAATGATCAACGGGAGGGCCTTTACTTTTTACTTTTGTGCTATAATAGAGACATGCATAGGTCGCTATAGAAACTAAGCAGAAGATTGCATTAGAAGTAAATAACCAACAACTCATAATGATTGATGATTTTTAGAAATCTGTTTGTTCTATTTATGTGTTGCTCAATGGAGCTAAGAAAAAAAATGTTTAGAAAACCAAGACTTAGTAAATTGTCCAAGTTGTGTCAAATATTTGGCTTTTGTTTTGGTTGGTGATAGGTTCAACTTCTTGGGACTGATGGCCTAGAACAAGATGTTGGTGAAACTGAAGATGATGAATCACCAGAACTGCGAGCCCGGAGACCAATGAATGCATTTCTCTTATTTTGCAAACGCCATCGCTCTCTTGTACGTCAGGAACATCCCAGGCTTGATAACCGAGGTGCTACCAAGATACTAGCTGACTGGTGGGCTGTTCTCGATCCAAAGGAAAAGCAAAAATATACAGACATGGCCAAGGAGGTACGTTATAATGAGAAAGTAGTTTTGGTAGCCATGAGCAGCCAATCTGGCATCTTTAATTAAAGTCTACAAGCATGAAGGTGAATCCAAAATATACTATTAAAGGAAAGCATAAGAGCTTTGTTTCTATTTTGAGTCCTGAGTTTACTTTGTTTTTTTGTTTGTTTGTTTGTTTTTGATATATTTACATTTTTCTTTTTTTCTTTTTTCTTTTTTATTTATTGAATCACCGTGAGAACAGTCACAAAGCCTTTCAGTTCAAGTCCCGGTCAGTCATACAATGATCAAACACCCGTCCCTTCACCACTGCACATTTTCCACCACCAAGAACCCGAGTATAACCCCCCTCCCACTCACCCCCCCCCCCCCCGCCTGTATGGCAGATTTCTACTTTACTCTCTCTCTCTCTGTCTACATTGATCACATTCAATGTTGCAACAAAAGACCCAACATTGTTATTTGGAATTTTCCCAAACATTCAGACCTGCCACAAAGACATCATTAGAAAATTTGTTTTCTATTGCTAATTATGAAGAGCATATGATGTCGTGTGGCCACAATAGCAGCCACACGAATTTGGATTTCTGATATTTTAGTAATAAACCTAAAGGGATTATTTCCAGAAGCCCCTGGGTTCCGAGATTGGTATGTGTGCCTCTGGAATCATGGCCAATCAGAAACCAGAGGAGGTGTTTGAGGGTAGCAACCCAGAGCATTGTCATGGCAGGAAGCAGGGCCACTTCCACCCCTCATCCCATGAAGCCCCACGTGCCTCGTCAATGCAGTCTCATACCTGCCTATTCATTAGGCTCTAAAAGATGCAGGCCACCATGTCGCCACCACAAAGGGGAACAGGTGGAGGGACGGACACCCTTCCCCTCTCAGGGCAGCATAGCACCATAGTTAAATATATATTTACATTTTTCAGTTAACCATTTTAATAGCATTTCCCACATTTTTGAATCTGCTATTTTAAGCAAATATTTGTAACTAAATGAGTAAATGAATGAATATATTGTTTAAATTATATGCAAAAATTGCAAAGCAGTATATTGAAGAGAAATTTCTCCATAAACACAGTACTGAAGAAACAATATAACTCAATATAGCCAGAAAAAGTACTAATAATTCTTAAGATAACAAGATACAAATAAATATTTTTGTTTGTTTTTTGGACACACCCAGCAGTGCTCAAGGGTTATTCTGACTTTGCACAAGTCCTGAGTTTACTTTGTGGATGCTGGGGCAGATCCAATAACAATTTATTACTAAGAAGTTTGTTTTCTCATCGTATGTTCCTTATTGATTGACAAATGAGAGATTGATCTTTCTGACTGATGATTGATATATTATGGGTGATATTGTTTAAAAGGATTTTATAGGTTGGTCCTCCAAGCACTGGTAGGAGTAATTCCTGAGTTCAGAGCCAGAGCCAGGAGTAACCCCTGAGCATTGCCGGGTATGACCCCCACCACCACCAAAAAGAAAGAGGGTTTTATAGGAATCCATTGTCTACTGTCAGGGAATAGCCATAGGGTATCCTATTTAGGTCATGGAAAAGAGTCTTAAGCTCTATGATCATATTTAAGTCAATCTCTAGGTCTGGCTTTTTTTTCTAATATTAATAGAATAAAGAAGTGGATCACAGATTTGTATCCCTTCCATCTCTAATACTTTTGATTTCATAATAAACACAGTTGTCATAAAAAGAAAATCTTTGACTTGTTACTGTCTTGTAGTTAAGTACAGCATGAGTATTTAAAACCAGGAAGTGAATGGATGGCAGTGGAAACAAGATGTACTGTGATGTGTGTTCATGTAAACACTGTGTAGGCAGTAGTTGGTAAGAAGCATTTCAGTTCAAGAAAGCGATTAGAAAAGTGGGGCATTAATCACTTCAAAATGGTAGCAGTAACAAATTTCTTTCCAAAATTATAAACAGGCTGAAATAAATTTTAAATTAATTTCATATTAATCTTTTCTTTTTATTTGTTTTTGGGGCCACATCCAGTGGGCTCTGCACTCAGGGATCAGTTCTGGCAAGGATTGAGGGACCATATATGGTGTTTTAAGGCAATTGCCTTATCCACTCTTTTGTCTCACTGACCCCCTCTAAGTTAATCTTAAAGTGAGTTCATTGCACGTTTTAAAATATATTGTGAAATGGGCTTATTAGCAAATAAGGGAAAAGATAAAAATATCATTGTGATGAAACGTATAAGGAAAAATCTTAACGATATTCCTTTAACGTTGCAATCTGACTCATCAAGGCACCTACCACCCAAACATTTGGTTATATTCTGTGAAAAGATGTACTAGCAGGAGATAAAATATAGTTTCAAGTGACACATTTTATTAGACAGCTCAGTATGTGGGAAAATAATTATTTTAACTTTCTGGTTTTATTGAGTTGTTAACAAGCTAACATAGAACATAAAACTTTGTTATGCACTATTAGGGAAATTTAAATCCAGAGTAAATGATTAACTTAGTTGCTGTGTAATTAATGATCACAGAAGACTTCACATCAACAACTAATATGATGTATTTCAATTATACTATAGAGGGGTCTTTTTTAAATAATCTCCAACATTAGATTGTTACTATAGATAAGATTTTAACTCTATAGAGCATCTGAAAAAATTTAAATCAGTTCCAGTTACTTAAATGATTTTACCTGTTTTAATAGATTTCCACTAGTATTACAGTAACAGCAAAATATTTCTATTAAATAGCCTTTTGTGCTTGTATGATAAAAATTAACAATTATCTAAAAATAGTATTAGCTTTCTATATAACAGTTGAGTTTATTTTTTCATTGATTTTTTTTCATGCAGCCTGTCCCATGTATATTGCTTGCCTTTTCTTAAGTTCTGCTAATTAAAAACAACAACAACAACAACCTGGCCATTTTAAGGGGAAATTTTTATACAGGAAATCCTTTACTAATTACTTAATGTGATTCACAGTATTTGCCCTTGCAGCACTATAATAAAATCTGGCAAGGTGTACCCTGCCCCTCATTTTCCTATCTACTACAAGGAGATACCTTAACTGCATCTTACAATTTGCCCTGTTATGGTTGTTTTTTTTTAAAATACATCCTTTCTAATGTAAAGCATAGAAGGTTCATTTGCTTTCAAAGTCATTATACAATTAGTTTCTAGTTATAAAGTGAAACTTATTTCAACTTATTTACTAAATGGTTCAAAATTACATTAAAGCATGGGTAATTTTTGTGTTGGTGTCTTGTTAACATTAATAGCTCAGCCCTACTGGAATATAAGTTTATTAAACAAATACTAAGTGACTTTAATGTACCAGATCCTGTGGTGGGTGCTAATGAGAAATATAGTCCTAGTTGCTAAAGTTTGGTATGTGTCCATCTATATCCTTTCACTGTGGCAATCATTTATTATAAAAACTGTTTAATATGTGGAGCCTTTTCATTTTAAACCCCAAATTTAAAAGTTCTTTGTGAACCATGAGAATTCTTACAACATGGTGTGAATGTGAATGCTTGCATAATATTCATCAGTGTATATCTGCCATTACCAGTTGAGTGAGTGCTACTTTATGCAAACTCAAGACCCCTGAACATTGAGTTTCCTTGCCCCACCTTCCTCTCTCTCTCTTAAAGAAACCTTTTTATTTTCTATTTTTTATTTCTTTAAAATTTTAATGAATCACCCTGAGATGCAGTTACAGATTTACAAACTTTTCTGATTATGTTTCAGTCATACAATGATTACCCATCCCTCCACCAGTGTCCATTCCCAAGAATTGCTTTACCTATTCCTGGGGGGTTGTTGTATATGAATTTCAGGAGTGTTTGATCCATTTCTTTGAAGAATTTCATGCAAATCCCTAAAGGGTTCACATTGAATCTGTATAATGTTTTGGGGAGTATTGCCATTTTGACAATATTCATTTTCCCAATCCATGAGCAGGGGATGTGTTTCCATTTCCTCATGTCCTCTTCAATTTCGTAAAGTAGTGTTTTGTAGTTTTCCTTTGTACAAGTCTTTACCTCCTTAGTTAAGCTGATTCCAAGGTATTTGATTTTCTGATACATGATTGTGAACAGAACTGCTTTTTCATGTCACTTTCTTCTCTCTCATTATTTGCATATAGGAAAGCCATGGACTCTTGGGTATTGATTTTATAGCCTGCAACTTTACTATCCAAGTCCATTGTTTCTAGGAACTTCTTGGTAGAGGCTTTAGAGTTCTCTAAACATAGTATCATATCATCTGCAAATAGTGAGAGCTTGATTTCTTCCTTTCATATCTGGATGCCGTAAATATCTTTTTCTTGACTAAGCTCTATTGTAAGTACTTCTAGTAATATATTGAAAAGAAGTGGTGAGAGTGGGCATCATTGTCTTGTCCCTGATCTTAGAGGAAGGCTCTTAGTCTTTGCCCATTGAGGATTATGCTTGTATAGGCTTGTGGTAGATGGCTTTGACTATATTGAGGAAAGTTCCTTCCATACCCATTTTGGTGAGAGTTTTCATCATAAACGGTTGCTGGACTTGTCAAATGCTTTCTCTGCATCTATGGAAAGGATCATAAGGTTTTTATATTTTCTTTTGCTGATATGATGGATTATGTTGATTGATTTCCAAATGTTAAACCATCCTTGCATCCCTAGGATGAATCCCACTTGGTCATGGTGTATGATCTTTTTGATGAGTTACTGGATTTTGTTCACTAATATTTTGTTGAGGATCTTCGCATCCATGTGTATCAGGGATATCGGCCTATAATTTTATTTTTTGTGTGGTGTCTCTGTTTGCTTTTTGGTATTAGTGAGATATGTGTCTCATAGAAACTGTTTGGGAGAGTTTCTGTTTCTTCAGTTTCCTGGAAAAGCTTTAGAAGAATTGACAATGCGTCCTCTTTAAATGTTTGGAAGAATTTGCTAGTGTATCCATCTGGACCTGCACTTTTGTTTTTGGAAAGACTTTTGATTACAGTTTCAATTTCCTTGATGGTAGT